TGTGATTCTTCCGACTGAACCTCTTGAGTAGCTGGGACTACAGGTGCATGCCACTATACCCAGCTAATTTTTTTTTATTTTTTGTGGAGACAAAGTCTTGCTGTATTGTCTAGATTGGTCTCGAACTCCTGGGCTCAAGTAATCCTCCCACCTCAGTCTCCCAAACTGCTGGGATTACAGATGTGAGTCACTGCACCCGGCCAGAGTTTGTACTTTTTTGGAGGGCAATACAAAGTCTTTGAGAGGATCAAAGCAGGGTGTGGCATGGTGAAGCAGGTGTGGCATGGAAGCTGTTTTTGGCAGCTGTGGGGCGATTGGTCTATCAAAGAAGGGACTGGGGAAAGAGATCAATTTGAATGTGATTTTATAATCCAAGTGAGAGACAATAAGGGTTTGAAGGAAAGAAATGGCAATGGGATAAAGGATGAGGGAGCAGAGAATGGATTTTGAAGATGCCAAAGAGCTAGAAAATACAGGATTCTTCTTAAATCATTGCATGCACTTACAAATAAAAGGCATTGCTTAAATTCTGGCTCCCAATATATTTCTATGTAACAGCACTAAGAGCTCTTGGGAGAATGAATCATTTTGGGGAGCTGGGTTTTCCACAAAAATGTGACTTTACCCCTCTTAGCATCCACTAACACCTTAAAAAAGTTGTTACTGTTATTAACTGAAATGCTTTGGTCATACATCATACTTCCCTTGAAGGCACTGCATAGTTATAAATATAGAAGGGGCTTTGGAGTCAAAGGCCTTGGCCCGAAACTGCTGTTATTAGTTGTGGAGCTCAGGAAAGTCATTTTACCACTTTAAGCCTCTTCAAAATAGGGTCAAGATCACCCACCTCACAGGGTTGAGGTGAGGTTATGAGAAAAGATCTGTAATGCTCTAAGTACAGTACTGGGTACAACCTAAGTGCTCAGCAAGTTAGTCCCCCTCCTTTCTCCTTCCCATGATGCCCCAGGCTCATCCTTAGACTCCAGTAACACAGTGACAGTGCAGGGTTCTTTGGCCCTTCTGAGGGGTCCTAGAGCAGTGCTACCAGACATCTTGTGTCTACTTTTCATGCTTTTTGTGTCTTCTCCCATAAACTGCCACTTCTCACTGCTGTTATCACTCACTCTCCTTTCCTATCATAATCCCGTATGTTTGCAGAACAGATAATAGCTGTCCTAACTGCTTCACGCTAATTCACTTAATCTCTATAAAACCCCAGGTTTTGTTACTATAGCCATTTTGTAGCTGAAAAGCTGAGGCACAGGAGTGTGAAGTGACTTCTCAAGGATAGGGTGCTAATAAGTTGAAGAATGGCTCGGACTCAGACAATATGGCTCCAGAGGCTGTGTTCTTACCCACACATTGTATCACCTCTCAAAACCAAGAACCACAACAGAGAAACGGTGTACAAAGTAAGAGTTTATAGACTGAAGACTGCAGATCAAGTCTCTTTTATTGATATTCCTTTCAGGCCAAACTTTCAAAATACAGCAGTAAGGAGCTGTATGGACACTGGGGGCTGTTAAGTGTCATCTTCCAAAAGCAGATTGAGACAAGAAATACTAAATGCAGAGGGAGGTTGAAGACAAGAAAACCTAGTGGTTGCATTTCACCCCCCCTTTTTTTTTTTTGATAAAATATGGCTTGATAAAAATAATGGCCAGATTCAGTTTCCCAAATAGAGTGATGTTTGCATGTAAGTAAACAGTGGTCCTTACATTTTTTTTTGGTCAGTAGGTCCAACTGATAATCTGATGAATACAGATTCCCTTTCCAGAAAAATACAAATTTAACTTTTTATGTATAATTGTAGAGGACTCCAAGATCTATTCTTGAACATGAAACTAAGATTCTTTACAGAAAAGCAGTGGAAAATCAGAGGCCAGATCTTGAGTCCTGACTCTTCTATTGACTTGCTGTGTCAAAATTTTGGCAAGCCACTACCCTCTGAGCCCAATGTGCAAATATGGAACAATCATCTCTGCCCTGCTTCCCTCATGCAGTAGACCGTGATTATAAGTGTGGAAGGTATAGTACATGCAAAGAATCACCTGAATGTAGTCAGGACACTGAGATCCAGAGAGGTTACTCATTTTGAGGTCACACAGTTACTAAGTAGCAAAATCAAGTTTCAAGCTGGAAGAACCGAAGTCTCTGGACTGTGTGTGTGGCTGTGGTTATGTGTGTATGTGATGCTCTCCCTCCCTACATGCATTTTTAAAAAGATCAAAAGAGATAATGCTGGACTGTATTTGAGATTCCAAGTCCATCCACTTGTGGGGATCCAGGATTGGGTGGTTGAGGGATTGAGAAGAGTGAATGGAAGAGTGACAGATCTGTGGTGCTGCTATGGAGACATGACCTTCTCTCACATCCAAATGAAAAGCTTCTATGCTTTGGGGGAAATTTGCCAAAGCTCTCCAACATCTTAAAAACTCATACCACCAACCAGCATGGTCAGGTCAGCACGCCTAGCTTTAGGGGGTAGCAGTTTTAATGCAACTGCAAACTTATTTCATGTTTTTAATGTCGCCAACAAGTAAAATCTCTAAAAGTCTAAGTCTTATTCTTCCATATTAAAAAAGATAGACCACATAAATGATGCTCTCTTTCAACTCTGGGTGTTTACAATTCAGAGACGAACAGCACATGGCAACATACCAACCAGAAACTTACAAGAAACTGTACCTTCTGAAGGGCAATGGGAAATTGGTAGTACTTCTTTAAACTTTCAAATGAATTTTCCAAACACATATCTAATGGTTCAAGGATACAAGGGTGTGAGCTGGAATGGGGGATGCCAAGAAGCCCTGGAGCTTCACTGTGCGCAGCTGGGCATAAGAATGCCAAGCAGATATTCTGATTGACTTACTTGCTGCATCTGGAGGCTGGGATGTAATGGCCAAGGAAGCCTAACAGGTAGAAGGAAGAACTGCAAAGGACTCTGCTATTTCTGTTTTGACAGCAAGTCATTTTAGTATTGTGCTTGTATGAAAGGGTATAAAATTGCTTTGGCCTCCTATTCTGGAGCTCAGGAGACCACGTCATGAGTGAACGGTGATGATTAGCTAAGGCCTTTCCCAGCTGTGGGGCAAGTGTTCATGGAGCTGAGCAGGCCAGACTGAGACAGGAGAAGAACTTCCCAAGACAGGGTTGAAAAAGGGTATGCCAACTTCACAGACATTTGAGTAGCATTTAATAACTTTTATGAAACTGGTTTCAGAGTAAAGTCTATATTGTCAGAATACAGAAGTGAATGGGAGGGAACAATATGATGGAATCAAACCCAAGTTAGATGGAACAGGTTAAACATGAAAGTGAATTCAGAGCACCTTCCCCCAACCCCCCACCACACCCGCTGCTGCTCTTCAGCATGGCCTGAGTTCAGGGCTGCAGCTTTCCATAGCAGCTGCAGAACACACCTACCTGGAAGGAGAAGAGCGGATGCCCTACTGTACCTGTAGCACAGAAATGACTGTCCTGTGGAGCCACAGGCTAGGCAGGAGCAGAGTTGGAGAGAAGTGCTTAGGCTGAGCTCCCACACAGTGGGTCCTCCTGTCTTCTGGCCTCTCTGGGGAGACCCCAGGCCATCCTTAGGCAGACGTAGCACTAGTCTGTTAGCAACACACCTCTCTTAAGAGTGTTCAGGGAAGGTCCCTGGTTGGAGCATCAGAGAAAACACACATGGTGGAATTTTCTGGCCAACACTACTTCTGGGTGGAGGGAAAATGACCAGGCATATCTCCAGCTTTGGTCAGAGTCTTGTGAGAACTCTTTGGCAGGGGCCGGAGGAATAAACCCAGCACTTAGATTCTCTTTTGGACAAGTATAAAATGTCAAGATCGAGATTACCAACCCCTAGGATAAAAACCACAGATGACACAAAAACAGATATGGAGAAACATTCCAAGACCAAAGGAAATCATTGGTTGTGAGGGTATAAACAGTGTTCCCATGAACTAAACCCCAAATCCACAGATTAAGAAAAATCCACACTTACTAAAGCAAACCCCAAATTATTATATGTTGGTTCAGACAGCACATGTTTTCTGAGTTGAGCACCTAAGTTTGCTCTCTTCAATATATGAAGTCTGAATTTTCAGCCATAGAATGAGATCCCTTTCATTTGAGATGAGAGTCTGATAGCTAATGCTAAAACATTAAGAGAATAAAATAGCAAAGTGAGTTCCTTATTACAGGAGAGTCCATGGGGCAGTTGATTAGGTTCTGTTGACAGATAAGGTACTTAAAACACCAAGTGACACAGTCCAAATGCATGATGGAGTAGAGGGAGAGAAAGCAAGAGAGAATTGTGTTCAGTGTACACAGATGGACTAGCAACTTGGGAGCTGGTGCCTGTGAGATTCTAACTGCCCAAATGCAAACCTAACAGCAGCTTCCTATCGCTAGGCCAGGTACTAAAGTGGTGGTACTGGTCCTCTCTGCACACTATCTCAACATTCACATTGTGTGTTAAAACAGTTTTCCTCGCTGCAGTGAGACAGCAAATACCTCCTAGATGGAACCTGGAGACCCAAGGCAGCAGCAATAAATAAATATCTCCCATATATGTCAAATGCAGTCCTCAAACAAAATCTTATATTTAGCAAAGGAGTCAGAAATTACTAGCAAAAATGATATACTTTTTTCCTACAACAATGTTTAGTCTCCATGCCTAGAATGTCCCATTTGACTTTTTCCCCCTGCCTTTTAAAATTTAGGTGACAAAGTAGAAATCCAGTCATGAAAATAAAAAGGCAGAAGTGTATGAGCCCTAGCTCAACGAGACATATCAAATACACAGCATCCTAGTGTCACAGGACAGAACTGTCTGGACACTGTGGGGGAAAGATGGGCACTGGAGAGGTAAAAATTCTACTTAGTGATCACTCACACTTGAACAGTACATTCACCACTGAAGAAGGGTAGAGTGTAGGGGTGGGGGAGAGTAGCAGAGCTGTAGCTCTCTGCAGTGAGGGTTGGGAACATATACTCATGGATGGGAAATTTTAAGTAGCTATGTTTATTATTACTTTTTCCAGCAATCTTGCAAGAGGCAGAAGTGTGACATTGAATTGAGTGAGACGAGCGTATGGGTGGGTTGGTGAGGAGCCCTTCTCTTGATGCAGGCCGCTGGCTTGTCAAGGAATGGCTGGTTCCACCGCTGGGCTGTGTTTACTCTTTTGCTTCAAGGAAAAGGGTTTCTTGAGGGAACAACTTTACCTCCAATAATGATTTATTTGGGTCCAACTGAGTTACCTAAAAAGAAAGAGAACACATACTCAACAGACTGGAACAAGCACTATTTTCTCCAATGGCATTCATTCTATCTATGAACACTGACTTGGAGCCTACTGTGCACTGGCATGAACATTCTCACATTATCTTCCTTGATCTTCAAAGTAACCCTATGAGGTAGGTGTTGTTATTCCCACTTTATAAGTGAGAAAACCAGGGAGCAGAAGGTCAAGTCTCATATTCAGTCTGGTGGAGGAACTAGCATTTGACATCAGGTCACAGGATCTGGAGACTTGACCTCTTTCTGAGTAGATGGAGGTCCCTGGCCTTCTCTACAGCTCAGCATGGCCAGTAGAACAGGGGGCCCTTGGGAAAGGTGCTGGCTAAACAACTGGCTGGCATCCCAGGGACTTCTGTGTGGCTAACACCTGAAAGTAGGGAGGGCCTTTATGCTCAGTGGAACAAGAGGTAAGTCTGCAGGGATGATTTTCCTGTTAAAATTGCTTGTAGTAAGCTGTAGAATGGTCACTCCACCATGCCTAGTGATGACTCTCTACCTTGGTGAGGGGAGGCATAGCACAATTTCCTTGTTGGGGGTATATTTAATTTTGAAAAAATGAGTCAGTGTCATTATACAGTTTTATACTTTAGAAATCAAAACATTATTTTATAATATGAATTACTGAAAATAAAGCTGGACAAAATCTTGCTCGATAGGATATATTAATCATACAGGGATCCTATATTAGGTTTATGCCCTTTTAGGCCGGGGGTAGGGATGGGACATGAGGGTTTTCTGAACTGGAGAGTGATAGAAATAAATCAAACTTTCTGTTTATCAAAAAGGGTCATGAATTTAAAAAAAAAACTGAGAAAGACTGGTTTAGTGGAAAGGACACAGACTTTGGAACTAGAATGACTCTGGTTGAAATCACAGTTGTGTTGGCTATCAGCTTCGTGGTTTTGGAGATAACATCAACCTTGTAGGACTGATGTGAGGATTAAATGAAGAAAAACATAATTAACATAGTGTCTTGCACAGAGCAGGTGTTCAATAATGGCTGCTGTATGTGACAGCAACTGTAAGGATGGTGGACACACAGATAAATGGGCAGCTTCAAGTGTGTGTCACGGGAGGGCCCGTGATCTGTAGTAAGGCCTGAGGCTGCTGCTCTGCTAGATACAGGAGTGCTGGGCCTGTGGGCAAACAATGCAGCACCTGAAGCAGGCCTCTTGTCTTCTGTTCAACTCAAGCCATTTCTAACCAGATGGTTTGGTTGTCTTCTTCCATCTGGGGAGAAGAGGGGGCCCTGGGGGCCAAGGCCGAATGTCACAGGCAGGCTGGCAAGGGGAAGTGGGGATGGAAACTATCTTTGATTGTATCTAGACATAAACTTGGTATGCCCAGGAGGGTCATTAAGGAGACACATCCACCCCCAGAATCCTCTGTTTATAAGGAACCCAGAGCAAAGCCTGTTATCTACTAGTATCTCTTGGGTTATGGGCAGATGGGCAGGCAAGGGGTGGGGAGGGCCCAGCTTGCTGTCTATCTTCCAATGCACTGGGGGGCAAGCTGCTGGCAAATGTTTACCCACTTCCCCAATTAACGTACAATACTGCACTGGCTTCTGTCAACAAACAGAGCTACGCTGCCTCTGCTTCCGACTTTGGCATTTTCTGCCCAGCTGCTTCTGATATTGTTCTTAATTAACATGCCAGAGCTCTTCCGGCATCTTCTACTTTGTTATTTGTGGTTTGTAAATATGATGTTCATTGGGAGAAACAAAAACCATAATCATGCCAGACTTATGAGGACAGGCAGGAAGATGTGCTAGGAAGCAAAAGGGGCTGGGAAGCTGGGCGTCAGGCCTCAGCTGTGCCCTGCTGGGACTATCAACATGCAAAGTTAGAGATTCACAAACCACACCCAATTTTCACATGAGAAAATTGTGTCCAAGAAAAGTTAAGCGATTCTCTCCAGTCACATTAAGTGGGAAAGCTGGGATTTGAGAAAGAGGGAACTAAAATTTCTTGAACACTTATTATATGCCAGGTACTTTACCTGCACAACTATGTAAGATTACAGAGATAAGAAAATTGAGGCTCAAAGTGGTTACCACTTGCTTAAGGCCATGTACATAATAAGGGTCTGTCTATACAGCATAATGGTTAAAAGAGTGAAGCAAACCCAGAGTCAAATCCTAGCTCTGTCACTTCCTACCAATATGACATAGAAGTAGTTACATAGCCTGAGAGCCTCAATTTCAACTATGAAATGGGAATCATAGTTTCTCCTTTATAGGTTGTTGTGATGATCATTTCAGTAGCCATGACTGGCTGGGGCTTGCCTTGGGTAGGGGCCCAGATCTCTCCAAGTTAAAACCTGGAGCTCTTTCCTCCAAGTCTGCTTAAGTCCTGACCTGCACCAGTGACCTTTTTTGTTTCTGTCCCACTGTCAGGCAGGAGGGCCCTCCTTTTCCTGATTAGGAATCTCTGGAGACCCCTTTTTATAGCTTCAAGGGGGCTGTGCCACCAAAGCAAGCATGTCTCTGCTGAGGAGCTGCCTCTGGTACCCCAGATCAAGCAATTTTTTTCTTTGAAGGTCATCTTAGATAAGAATTTCAAAGTGAACAAGGATAATCTCTGTTTCTACTCCCATTTGAATGGCTTGGACAAACTGATAGAGGGAAGCCTAGGAGATATAGGATGCCATGCTTCACCCCAGCAAGAGAGTAGCCACACTGTAAAGTCATCCTGCAGTGCCTTGGATGCCATCCAGGAAGGACATAGAGGAGCATGCCAGGAGGGATCTTCTGCTAGCGAGGATCCTAAGAGTTGTGCTCTATGAGAAACAGCTAAAGAATGGGAGATACCTCCCTGGAGAGAGGTGCTGAGAAGTGGTGGTGGTGCTGCTACGGGGGCAGGGAGAGGGCTGTGCTACCCCTCTGAGTATCTGAAGGGCCAACACGTAGAAGACAGAGCTGACATGCTCTGTGCAGCTCCAGCGAGTGAAGCTAGGCGTGGTGAGGTAAAATCACAGGGAAGCAGAACCCAGCTAGTTAGAAATTACTTTTTAACAGAAAGATGACAGCTGCTGAAGTGGCTATTACTGCTTCTTTTAAATATTTCTCCCTCTTCTTCCTGTCTTTATTTTCTTCTTGTTCTTCAGTCATCACCATAACAGCAACCATCATTTATAAGCACTACCATGTAGCTGGGAACCATGCTAAGTACTTCATATACTTTCAATACTTTATATATAGTATCTTACCTAGTCCTCACAATGGTTCTGTAAAATAGGTATTATTCTTGCTATTTTACAGACAAAGATGTCATAGGTTATCTTGCCCAATGTTGCAGAGAGAATAAAGTTTCACACTCAGGTCTGTCTGACTCCCAAGTTCATGATGACCCGAATGAATCTGGCCAACATGTTAACAGGCTGCCTTGGGGAAATGAAGGCGCAGTGGGGGACGGGGGGAGTGAACTCTCTGCTGTCCCTAGAAGTATTAGAATAGAGGCTTATTTGCAGATGATGATGATGACAGCAAACATGTTTATTGGGCATTTACTTTATATCAGGCATATTCCAAGCACTTTATTTTTATAAAATAATTTTCATAATAATCCTCTGAGGTCAGGACAGTTATTATCCCCATTTTACAGATGAGGAAAAGAAGCCATGGAGCAGATTAAGTAATTTGTCCAAGGTCTTAAAGCTATTAAGGTCAGAGCCAGAATGCGCATCAAGGCAACTAGATTTGGAACCCACTAGATTATATTGCCAGAGGTGCTGCTGAGAGTAGGCTCCACACACAGAAAGAAGGTGGCTGAGATGACCCTGAGGTTATTTCTAACCAAGCTTCCAGGATATAAGATTTTCACTTTAAGAATGGCAAAAGATCAAGGGTTAGGAAAAAAAATCCTGAAATGTTTATAAAATACGAATACAAAAAACCCAACCTGAGCTTGTGTTGTGCCATTTACTTGAGACTTTACTGAATTATTGACTTTCTAAATCAACAGAGAATCCCACCCTTTGGGACTTCTTGAGGGAGGAGGGGCATTCTCAGGTAAGAGGTATAGCTTGACTTTGTGCTTAGAAAAGGAAAGTTAACCATCTTGACATTTTCTTCACTGTACTTAGGAAACCTGAATGGATATATTTTCTCATTAAATAATTTAGCAAATTGGCTTTGTGAAACTTGTTTACGTTAGCAAAAATAGGACATGTTCTCTGCCAAACAGAGCTAATCTTTTCTAGATCAATTTTCTTAGCAGTTTGAAATTTCATATACATTTTATTTTGATTACTTTCCTGGGTTTCAGTTTCTTTCCTAAAAAAGCATAATACTGCTGCTGAGAAAAATGTGAACTGATGTGACAGTCTCATTCTAGGCTGCGCTGTGAATCCCAGAACGTTAGAAACTCCTTAAATGCTAACCAGTCCAAGCCCTCCATTTCACAGGTGGGCAACCTGAGGCTCAGAGAAGTCAAGTGACTTAAGCTGATTGGGGCAGATGTAGCACTCTACCCTGGAGTTCCTGACTTCTGTTCTGGGGCTCTTTTCAGCAACATCATTATGTCTCTCATTAAAAACAACAACAACAAACAAAAAACTCTGTGCAGAAACAGAATACTAGAGGTTAAATATCCCTAATCTGAAAACACAAAATGCTTCAAAATAAAAACTTTTTGAGCACTGACATCATGCTCAAAGGAAATGCTCACTGGATTTTGGATTTGGGATGCTCAATGAGTAAGCAAATAGTCCAAACTCTGAAAAAAATCCAAAATCCAAAACACTTCTGGTGCCAAGCTTTTTGGGCAAGGGATATGCAACCTGTACTACTAGGATGGGAGCTACTTGAGAGCAGGAGGCGAGTAATACTAAAAATAATAGCAGCAGCAATATTTGCATAGTACTTTACAGTTTGTAAGATATATACACAAACTCACAAATTGTGTGGGTGAAGTATTATTATCAGCCCTTTTAAATTTAATTTTGCTGAGGTGATATT